GGTGCGCCGCGTTAGCGGGCATCTCCTAGGCGCGCCCTCCCTCCGCGCGGGGGGAAGCGTCGTTCCCGTTGTTGGAGAAATTACTGCGGGGCCGCCGTCCCTGTGCTGGGGGCCCGAGGCGCCCTCTCTTCCCGGCGCCACGCTCCCTCGGTTGCTGTACCGGTAGGCGCGCCCCAGGGAACGGCTTCGGGCTGGTGGAAGGCGTAGCATTTTCATGGGGTTTTCTCTTCTTCCTCTACCCCTGCTGAAGCGCAGCGTAAAAGGCGCTTATTGGGTTCAGGGTATTGCTTGACTAATACGGGGCATCGTTCACACCCAGATTGTAGAGTTATATAGCTTCAGTCGGGCCTGGCTTCCCACGGAAAAGCCTATTTTTGCTTTTTTAGGGAGAAGAAAAGATCAAGTGTTTGCTCATATTTTTCCCACGGTGGGAAATGCAAATATCAAACTGCTGCGATTTGCCTAGGGAAATACTGTATTCTAAACTTTTTAACTTTTTGTAGCACTTTTTCTTCTGAGTTTTTATTTAATGACTCAGCGTTTCTGTCATAAACAAAAAACTGTAGATTGACTAATGTAGGTATGTAAAGATAACAGAATAGTTTTTTTTTTAAATGTTGCCACAATGAGAAGAGAATATGGATGCAGTAATAAGACGGGAAGAAGGAGAGGAGAGTATGGATAAGTTTTTAATTAGTGTTCGAAATAATATTTTTTTTCCAGAAATAACATTTCATTTCGGGAATAAATTTTTGGAAAGCTTCGGTTGTTGGAGAATGCAGAATGTTGCAGGTAGGATTAGTTGTCAGGGATGATGATTTGAAAGCCCTGTAGAATTAACCCTATTTAACCAAACCATACTCTAACAAATACAGATGATGACCTAGTATTTTAATATACTCATATAGCATAAGAATTTGGGAAAGTATGACTCACTTAGGAGGTTAGGTCATTCAGTGTGTGAATCATTGATCTGGATGTTAAAACTGAAATAGAGGAAAGCTAAGTTTTGTTTCTGCCTATCTAATTAGATACTTTTACTCATTTTATAGAAAGTGTTTAATTTGGGGGGGCTCGGGTCGAACTCTGGTCCTTGCGCTAGCAGGGCAGGGGGCAGAAGAACCATTGAGCTAAACCCCCGGCCCTAGAAAGTGTTTAATATTTTGTTAGGTTTGTGCTAGATGGTTGTTGTCATGCAGTATGATAAGGAAATAAATTGAAATTTTGCAAGAATGCTTGAATTTAGGATAGTTTGTTAGTTACTAATGGATTGTTGTGATTTTACATTTTCTCTTCTTCTAACTAGATGTGGGAAGATAAATGAAGGGGTCTAGAAGCAAGGGGAAAGGAGAATTACCATCACTAAGGTACGAAAAAGTTCCCTGAAAGAATTGCAGTATACAAAATACCCATAGTCTTTTGAATGGAAAGCCTCACTCATTTTGCCATACTATCCTTAAAAATGTGGAATTCCTGACTTAAATTCTTTCATTGAAGAAAGGGTGTATTGAAGTTGTGGTTTATTCTTGGAATGGATTAGTTTTAAACTAGAAATAACTTTTTATTGCTGTAGTGTAATTTGATCATTTTTTGTTTTATTTTGTTTTCAAACTGTTGTTAAAATAACCTTGAATCACAGAGATCTTGGTGTTCTTACACTTATTTTTCTTTTCCTTCTTTTTGGAATGCAGTGTATTTTACCTTGATTTTCATTTGTAAAGAACTTAAATTAATTCTAAAATGATGGCAAGTTTATCCTGTTAGTTTTGCTTATGAAATTACTTTAATTCTTTGATGTCTTACTTTGGATATCTTTTTTTTTTTTTCTTTTCTGGAATGGGGGATCAAACTCAGGACCTTGCGTTTATGAGGCAGACAGCCCTGGATATCCATTCTTACATTCAAAGTGTTCTGTAATGTTTTTGATTTTTTGTCCTGCTGATTAGTGTTAAGAGTTTCACTTCCCTATGAATAAAGATTCCTGTTTGGAAAATCCCTTGTAGAACTCACCATAACAGGGCTGGGGATGTAGCTCAGTGGTGCTGTGCCTACCTGGCAAGCACAAGGTCCTAAGTTCCCCGTCACTATTACAGAGTCTGGATAGGTAAATATGTGGGAAACCTTAAGGCACGATTAAGCATCTCTGTATTGAATGAAAACTATATTTGACAAAATATCTGTTTTTGAAAAGTCTTTACTAGAAGTGAATTTAGCAAGATGGAGGGAGTGATTTCTTGCATAGCCCTTTGTGAATTGTTTACCTTGTTGCTAGTAGAAAAGGAACAGAATTGATAATGTATAGGAAAGGAAAATTTCTCCTTGTAATCCACTGGGAATGTTAAGGAACATTTCTCTGGATGTGCTATCTATCAAACCTACAAAATAGAGGCTTCTTCATAGCCTTTTACATTTAGGTAATTGCTTTCTCTTGGGAGAATCTCAACAGATATGTTTCCTTTACTGGGAAAATGAACTACTTTACCAGTTTGCAAATAAAGAATAGACTCCATACCATTATAAAAGTTCATCTTTTTAAAACTTTAGATAGAAGCAATTGAAAAAAATTTACCTTGTAAGATGTCTTAGTCCTTTTCTCCATCTTTTTGTTCTACAATAATAGGAAATTTTAGAAATGATTTCTTTTGGCATTACACTTTGTATTTTCACTATTAAAACTTTTTAGCTTACAATAAATTAGGGAAGAATTAAAAATAATCAGATGCTAGGGTAAAATCTGGGTCTGTCATATGTTTTTTATGCGTTCTGTTACTTATTTTGGTGGTGATGGTGGTAGTGGGAGGGCCATGAGAGTTCTGTTTCTTAGGGAGTCTCTGAGACTTGCTATGTATGTATGCTTTTGTTTTAATCTAGTGATAGGGAAAAAACAGTAGATGAGAGTAGAGATAGAGGAGAGAAAAGACATATATAATGCTAGCTTTATGGCTTTAATAGACATTTGTGGGACTTTTAAAAATTAATGAAATATTTAAAAAGAAAATGTTAATATGAGAAAGTATATTTTCTAGCTCCTTCTTACCCCATTTTCTAAGCCACCACTGTTAATGGTTTCTTATATATCTCTCTAAATTTTCTTTTACATATGTAATCACATATGTTTAGGAGAAATATCCTATAGCTTTTATACTTTTAATATATATTAGAGATACTTCTGTATTAGCACACATATCCATCTTATTTTTTATAAGACTAGATATCTTGCCTGGTATAAATGAACCATAATGTGTTCATTTTTTCATAATTTAACATTTCCTATTAACAGACATTTAGATTGCATTTAGCCTTCTGCCTCACTTCTATAATGAGTAACTTGTGAAACAAATCTTTGCATTAGTTTATGTATATGGAGTATATTTTCAAGTGTGTGACCATAAGGTTTTGGTACTTAAATTGTGAAAATTTAAAACTATTTCAATTATATATTGGCCTTTATTTTATGATAAAAATTAACTTTTTTCTCAGGCTTATAGAAGAGGTTTCTTACTTTTTTTTTTTTGTGGTGGTGGTGCTGGAAATCAAATCCAGGGCCTTTGCACTGAATGACAACCCTTTAAAAATTTTTTTAAAAATTTTTGAGAAAGTCTTGCTAAATTGCTAAGTTGTCCATGTTGGACTTGAATTTGTCATACTTCTGCTTCAACCTCCCAGAGTGCTAGGATTAAACATGTGTCATCAAGCATGGCCCATTTGATTTGTATTCTTCACCCATTTTTTCCATTATTTTATTTTTTTCCCATTTCTCCATTTAAAAAAATATTGTGAATGTATTTTATAAGTCAATTCAGGTGATTTTGGAGTATCAGGTGATTAATTTGAACTAGTAAAAGTAGAACTATGTAGTTAAACAGTAGTATGTCATATAAGACCATTTATATTTGGTAATAGTTAAGTGGCTGTATCGTACAGTAGATTGTTTCAGAATTTATGTTCTATGTCAGTTAAAAACATTGTAATAGTTTAATATTTTGCCCTGCTGAAATCTGCTAATATTGTTAGTCATTAGAGAAAAAAAAATCCACCTTCTTCTCTGCCTTTATTTTCCATATTCTAGTCTATTCATAATAAAACAAACCTGTGTGTATCCTGAGATCCAGAAGTTTTTTTGCAATTCAGAGTGCTATCGATAGATAAACTTTTCAAGGCAGGTAGGAAGTACAGATTCGGTAATATTCAAAGTGTTTTTGAGCAAGTAAGGTGTCAGTTATTCATTTCAATGTTATATGGGTCATTTATGGCCAGGAGGAGGTACAGGACCCTTTGTCCTTTTTGAAATAAGAGAAACGGGAGAAAAAAAAAATTAGTAGGACCAGGGAATTTAGCTCAGTGGTTCCTCTGCCTGCCTTGCAAGCACAAGGACCTTGGTACCAAAACAAAACAAAACAAAACAAAATTAGTACTGTGAGTCTAAAGTATGATGAAGTTGGAACCTTGTGAGTGGCAGTTTCCTTGGCTGGTGCGCAGGGTCTATTTTTGAGGCCTTGTTAAAGCTTGCCTGATAGAACCTACCACATAACTCTAATCTGGCCTGGCCCTACTGTAAGTCAGGAAGACCTGTGGTTTAGGAAAAATGGCATCCACAGAAGAGGGAGTTATAAGAAACATTTGCCTTCAGAAGATTAAGGCTAAGTTTTGAGGTGAAAGTCTGCTTAGTGTGTACATATCCTAGGATCCAGGTTTGTCTTTTTTTAAGGAAAGAGGATAATTAAGGAAAACTAAGAAGGCAAGTTTTGTTTGTTTTTTTTTGGTAGAAAAATATGCACAAGGAAGAGCATAGGATTGTTCCAGCATTGATATTATGTTCTAGCTATATGAGCGTGCTTTCCAAGAAACGATCAACTGTTATATAGCAGGGAAGAAACATTACTGTTACTATCCTAGGGAGGCCATACCCCAAGTTGAAGTAGCAGTTCAGTCCATAGCTTTCATTTACACTTGTCACTAGGTCACAGAGATTGTTGAAATGATGACCTATTATAACAGGATTATTTTTATTTCAAATTGGCAATATAACTTCTTCCCAAATTCTCATTCTGTTTTTTCCCCATAGAACTATAGAATGTCATGTAGAGTACCATGAAATTAAATGTTTTTGTTTTGATTTTTTTTTTTTTGAGACAGGGTCTTACTATGTACTTCAGGCTGGCCTTGAATTCAAAAAACCTCCTGCCTCTGCCTCCTAACTGCTGGGATTACAAAGTGTGTGCCATCAGCACCCAGCTGTAAAGTTAAATGTTTAAACTGTAGATTATTACCAGCTGCTCTTTACCCACAGAGTTGTTTTCTTAGACCATGTGGTACCGCATGAAAACTTTGATATTTTCTATATTTAATGAATGAAACTCTAGAGTTTAAAGTTCTTTAGCTGATCTCACTTCTTAGGCTAGAAAGCTGTTAAAACTTATGCTCTACCTTTGACCAAAGTTCATGTCAACATATTTAACTGCAGCTTTGTATAGTGTTATAGGTAAGGTTCGAAGGGTTCAGCATTTGAACTTAATTTACATTCACAAACACTTCCTTTTCTTTTGCTTTAAATAGGATTGCCACTCCAGAAAATTTAGTTTTTTCTTACCCTCAAATATTTGGATTGTTAACATGAAGATGATGTAGTTAGGATTTAGTGTTAGGTGAAAAAAAAACTAATGTTACTCTTTCTTGCTGGTATTATATTTTTTTTCTATTATCCCTTTCAAAGTTCAGCTTCCCCTTTCTAGAAAAATAAAAAATGAAAAATAAGGTGGATGTAGTGGTTAAGAGTGATAAAACTGTAGAAAGGATATGATTGTGTTTTTATTTTTTCAGAAGGGGAATATTAAACTCCCTATTAAAGAGTCATGTTTTGTTTTTGTTATAGTATTCTCACTTTGAAATCTTAGTATTCTTTTATTATGCATGCCATATTTTGGACTAGTTTAATGTATACTGCTTTAGGAAACACATTTAAATTACTTGTTTGGAACAATTTTCTGTTCTTTTTATAGCTCCACTTTTTAGGTAAAAACATTTTAATAGATAGGAGCAATCTTCTAACTTTAAAAATATTTAATAGCATATATTGTCTACAGAGAATTAGGGTGTTAAGATCTTTATTTTTTTGTTAAATGGCTTAAAATCATCTACATGTAACTGCAAATTGAATGCATTTAGCAAACATGTGTTTTTGCTGTTTTTTTTTTTTTTTTTTTTTTTTGTATTAGGGATTGAACTTGGGACCTTGTGCTTGTGAGGCTGGTGGCGGAACCACTGAGCTAAATACCTGGCCCCTATTTTTCTTTAAAAATTAAGTATTCCATTGAAGTGACCTAAGAATTACAGGATTAAAAACAGAAAAATATTTCAGTTCTACATG